TCGCACCACTGATTTTTATTTTTTCGCTGATACCACTCTGGGAGTGGTCTCGGCTTTCGGTAACTCTACTCCTCCTTCGTCACGCTGTAAATTTTGGCGCGTGGAAGAGAGAGCGGAGTGTAGGACTTGTATCTGCCTGTGTATGAGGCAGATTTTTCCTTCTTTGGGTCGCTGGCCGAAGATTGCTCCGAGGCCTTTGACTTTCCCTTTGCCTTATGGCCTTGGCCTTCAGACAAGGGTATTTGTCTTTGTTTCCCTCCCCCGAATTGAGGTTGGGTTTTCGCTTTGTTCCATTCTTCGGCTCGGATGAACTTATCCGAGGCATTCAGAGCTTCCTCCAAGGTCTGCGGGGTATGCATGACCATGAAGTCTAGGAACTTCCCGGGCTGAAGGCCATTCTGCATTGCAAAAATGGCTAGCCCCTGGTCCAGCTGAGAGACGTTGGATGACTCGTTACTGAAACGGGTCAGATAGTCTCGGAGGCTTTCGGTTTCCCCCTGTTGCAGACTCATGAGTTCTGCAGTAGTCTTCTCTCGGCGGTTTGCCGTGGAAAACTTGCTCCTAAATTTGGAGGACAGATCATCCCAACCTGTTATGGAGCCTTGCTTTACTCCCTTGGAGATCCACGCTTGCGCGACCCCCTTGAGAGTGGTTGGGAAATATTTGCACCAAATCGCTTCGGATCTGGGGCAAAGATGCATATGAGTCTCATACGAGGCCACGTGGTCCTTCGGATCCGAGGTCCCGTCATATGTGATGTGCGACGGTATTTTAACCGTGGGCACGTGCTCTTCCACTATCCATTGCTCGAATGGCGAACTGGAGGGTAGCATAACGGCCTTGCCCTTGTTCCTGGCCGAAGGGACCGCGCTCCGCCCTCTTAAAGAGGTAGGAGTGGTTTTCGTCCCTGGCTGGGAAGTCTGAGCCTCGACCGCAGGGAACAAGAGGCGACTGTGCACGCTCGGTTCCTTGCCGCCGAGTCGGTCGAGGACGCTTCGGCGAACAGTCTCAGGTCGTTCTCGGTGAGTAGATTCTGGCCGAGAAGCTGAGCTGCTGCTCTTATGCGTTTCTGGTCGGGAGGATGAGGATCCTTTTAAAAATTGAGGGTTCTTTTTCCTCTCTTTTTCATTTTTCCAGGTATCCTCTTCCCACTCTTCCAGTTCCCGGAAGGAAGGAAGCTTCCCACCATCATGGTCTAGCTTCCTCCGTTGATGTCGGGTATGCGGAGGAGTTCGATCACGAGGTGGAGGCATATTTTGTGCCCTCATCGCCTCCATGAGCACTGCCAACGCTCTTGCCACCTCCTCCGAGCTGGGCCCCGTCAAAGGGGTCCTCGGTCGAGTATGGGAATGAGGGCGCACAGTCGATGGTTGGCTTTGGGGCAGTGAATGTGTCCTATGATCGGACTCACCCCTGCTAGACCGAGAGTGACTCGGCCTATGATGAGAGTTATGAATTACGGGAGAAAGGGAATCCTCCCTGTATGATCCTTCCCCCGAGCTGGCACCCTTGGGAGAGTTCCGGTCCGGCGAGGGTGATGGTGTAGGGGTTTTAGGCTTTTCGCCCGCTCCTTGACGGAGGCCTTTGCTCTTGCGGTTCTTAGCCATTGCTACTAAGATAATTGCAAGATGATCTTGGTTAGAAATTTGGCTTAAAGATTTTTGAAAGTCTTCCCCACAGACGGCGCCAAATTGTTTCGGGTGAAAACAATGGGACCTTGCCGAAGGTCCGATGAAGCGGAGAAGACTAGATTCGATCCAAGTAATGTTGGGCCGAAGGTTTCCTGCACAGTAAACAGACGTAAACTAGCCTCGGGGGTGTTGCCGAGGAAGGCCCCTCCGATGCTAAAGTCAGTACAGTGTGTAGAAAGAGAACACTATGCAAGATAATTAATTGCTTGAGGCTTTTCCTGAATGAATGTACAAATGTAATATTGATAGCTTTTATACTTCTTCATACATGGAGAAGTTGGGCCTTAGCCCAATTGGCTTGCCTTGAGGACTGATCTTTGACTTTAGCACAATTGGAGAGATGAACCTTGACCTTGGGCTTTTAATTGGATCATTTAATGGCTAAGTCCAATTGGACTAAATTGGACCCAAACACAATGTAATAATGTTATTGCTCGTGCAAATCCAACGTCTTCATTTTCTTCTTAACTCATTTAATTCCAATCACCTTTAGTTTTCATATCCCTGAATATTACGAAGTAGGTATCATTCATTCAACTTTAATAATCAAAACGCTTTACATGTGACTGTAAGCTGATTAAAAAGAATATAAGGTCAACCATAAATACATGCATCTATGCAAGCACATCCGTTGCACAACGCCTTAAAATGTTGGGTCCCAAAAATTTAAAATTATTGTTAAAGGATTTAGTACGTAGAATCTAGCAAAGATTGTGCATGTTTAGATTAATAATTATTGTGTGACCAGGCAATGTCCCACGCTATTATACTGTATAATTGTAAAAGGCATAAGCTAACAATCGAATGTTCAGGTATTGGATAAGATAATTAAAAGTAAAAAAAAATGAATTAAATAAACATTAATTACACAGTTACACCGGATGAGTACAAATTCTTAAATGAACCTGGTTCACACTAATTTATTGTGGGCCACTAACATTAGAGAAAGTATGGTTATTTTATTAATAAAAATAAGGGTCACTATAATTAAAAAAAGGTCACTATATTGAAATAAAAATCATTTTGGTAATATATAGGCCTAAGTGGTTATTTTTGTAATGAAATATTTTATATACTGATCAATATGAATAATAAAGGCCACTATGTTAAAATTAGGGTAATAGCGTCGTATTTCAAGTTCACAATATTATTAAACGTTGTAGTAGTTTTAATAAAGGTTACTAGGTTAAAAATAAGGTTACTATGTTAAAAATAATGGTTACTATGTTCAATATAAAGTCAGTTGCGTGTGTATAGACCTCGGGTCTACAATAATATTATTGTGGACCAGGTCAACGCAAGTCTTTTTGCCGGATGAGACGTTATTTTGACAAATATTCCTAAATTAATACCACTTTAAAAAATAATTTAAATCCTTATCTAACGCCCCAAAGACGCTCGTTAGCAAGATCCTTTGTAAAGTTGTAATTAAATGGATAAAAAAAAAATAAGTTCTTTGTTTATTCTTTCCATCTATTTATTATAGCTTTCCATTAAACGTCTAAACTCATTAACTTGGCTTGTGATATGAATGATTTTGATTTAATTTTCTCTTGATCTTTATTTTGGGGAGGGGGAGTATTTCTATGAAAGAACCCTCATTGTCTTTTCTGTACAATCAATGACTATAGATTAATGACTCACTCTCGGCGCATAGCTGTTATACATTTACAAAGCATATAGGAGGGCAAAAATGTAAATCTAACAAACTTTTGGAAAAAACCTAACTCTATAGTGGTACATTATAATATATCGTAATGTACCATTATGCATGTATAATGTACCATTAAAGTAAAAGTTATTTTAATAATACTTTTTGTGTACTATTATGCATGTAGTGATACTTTTTACCATCCTATATGTTTAATATTTTCCCCCAAAATACTTAGCACATGTCACCTATTATGCATATATTGGTACATTTTTCCATCCTATATATTTGCTAGCTAACAAATAGCAGCTATGCGCTAAGGGTTAACCTAGATTAATTACCAGCAGTATGTTGTTGTAACACCCCGACCCCAAACAAATTAGGGAGGGGCTTGTTGTCACGAAATGTGCATCAAGGGCCAACAATTGTCCTCTCAGACCAACACGAGTCCTTCCGGCGCATTTTGTCCTCACTCATGCGCACCCCGGGAAAACTTCCCAAGAGGTCGCTCATCCCAAGACTACTCCCAGCCAAGCACGCTTAACTATTGAGTATCTTAACATATGAGCTCCCTAAAAAAAAGATGCACCTTGTTGATATGAGTAGTATATCAAACTCCTTTAAAGCAATAATGAGAGGTATTACATACACCCCCACTTGAGAACGACAACGCCCTCGTTGCACCTGGAAGCCTGAGGACTCCAGCATTACGCCTAATGGGAACTATTGTCACGAAATGTGCATTAAGGGCCAACAACTGTCCCCTTAGGGAGGGGCCTATTGTCACGAAATGTGCATCAAGGGCCAACAATTGTCCTCACATACCAACACGATTCCTTCCGGCGTAATTTTGTCCTCACTCATGCGCACCCCGGGGAACTTTCCAAGAAGTCACCCATCCCATGATTGCTCTCAACTAAGCACACTTAACTATGGAGTATCTTAGCATATGGTCTTCCTAAAAGGAGATGCACTTTGTTGATATGAGTAGTATATCAAACTCCTTTAAAGCAATCATGAGAAGTATTATAGTTGTTATATAATGTGTTGCCAAATATAGCCAAAGTAAAAGATAGTCTGAGTCTGTCAGATGTGTATATTGTGTACTACCGATCATGTTCCATCATTGGAATACAAGACATCTCCCACCATCATTTTTTTGGTTACAAGGTTTAAATTAATCACTACTCCCTCTGTCCTTTTTTTTTTTGCCCCATTTGACTTTATACATACGGCTCCAAGACGCGTTTTAGAACGCACATATCTTCATTTTCATACACGTAATAATTCTTAAAACTATTAATGTTAAATATATTGTTCATATCTTTTGCAGTCAACGTAGATAATTAGTTGCCTTGTATTTATCTATAATCAAGCCTTCTGTTAAGGCTTATACTTTGTATATATATGCGGTTGATTAGTGATAATCGTTAAGGAAAATATTCCCCAAATCTTTCATGGTATCAGTTAGCCTAGGGCATTCTCTCTGATTCCGCTGCACCCTAGCTCTGTTTTCCGTCCACCTGTTCTTCCTCTACCTTTCTTTCTCTTCTCCTTATCACCAGCAACTTCCATGGGGGATTCGAAATAATCCCTCAATCCAGCTCTTATCGTTCCTAATATCAAGAATCATGTTACCATTACCCTTGAAACTGAAAATGTTAAATACTCTACTTGGACGGAGCTATTTAAGGTTCATGCAAAGTCTCACCAAGGTCCTTCACCATATCATTCCTCCAGCCAAGGGTAAGGAGCAGCCTCCTCCATCTATGTATGCGGAGAAGGAACTATGTATGACCTTGAATGCCACGGTTCTCTCGTGGATTTATGCCACCATGTCTAGTGATTTTTTAAACATCATTATTAAGCCCGACTCTGAGGCTGTGGAAGCTTTGGATAGGTTGCGTGACATATTTCAAGATAATGAACATTCTCGTGCCGTGGCTTTGGAACAAGAATTCTCCATCACTACTATGGAGGATTTCCCAAATGTATCCTCTTATTGTCAACGTCTCAAGTCCCTTGCAGATCAATTGAAGAATGTTGGGGCTCCGATGCCTAACAATCGAATGGTGTTATAGTTGGTTGGGGGACTTACTCGTCTGTACCGTGGAGTTAGTACGTTGATTTCCAAAGTAATCCTCTGTCGCCTTGTTATAAGGCACGTTCTATGCTCACCGTAGAAGAAGTCGGGTTGGCAAAAAAGGCAGTCAATGAGTCCGCTATGGTGGCCTTGATTGTGGTGGTGGTCCGAGTCATGGAGATAAATCGGGTCACAACAAAGGGAAGAATAATTATGGTCAACGCAACAACAACGGTGAACGAAAAAATTCGGGTTCCAGTGGTGGTAGGAACTCTTCCGGCAGCAAAGGTGGCGGCCAGGACCAACACTTTGGAAGCCACGGTGGATAGTCGCAGCAGGCGCAATGGCAGCAACAGCAACCACATGCTCCCAGCAGCAGCGCCAAGCCGGTGTTCTTGGTCCAAGACCTCATCAGGCTTATATCAAACAAACAGGGGCGTCCAATCCTCATGTGCAATCCGATTTTTATGCTCCCATAGATATTGAGGCAGTCATGCACACAATGTCTCTCCAACAACCTGACTTGTCGTGGTACATGGATACCGGTGCTACATCTCATATGACGTCTTCTATCGGTAACCTCTCGTCTTACTTTAATTTGAGCAATCATCCAAATAATGATATTGTTGTTGGTAATGGTCATTCTATTCCAATTCTTGTCTATGGTCACACTAACTTTCCCTCCCCATGTCAATCCTTATCTCTTCAAAATGTCCTTCATGCTCCTAAGTTGATTAAGAATCTCATATCTGTTAGAAAGTTTACTAAACATAATTCTGTGTCAATCGAGTTTGATCCTTTTGGGTATTTGTGAAGGAATTTCGGACGGGGAGGCCGATCATGAGATGTGATAGTCATGGAGATCTTTACCCAGTTTCATCTTCTTTCAACAATCAAGCTTCCTTTTTTTGCTGCTATCTCTCCTAAGTTACGGCATGACCGTTTGGGTCATTCAGGGGAACCTATTTTAGATTTGCTTAGGAAAAATAGAGGAATTGATAGTAATAAACACTATAGTTCAAGTATTTGTAGCTCTTGTGTTTTTTGAAAACATATTAAATTGCCATTTGTTTCTTCTTCTTCGAGTACTACTATGCCCTTTGATATATTACATAACGATCTTTGGTCATCTCCTGCTTTGAGTTCTGCAGGACATCGATATTATGTTTTATTTCTTGATTAATTTTCAAAATATTTATATATGGACTTTTTTATTGGGTTGAAAATCTTATGTTTATGACATTTTCTTAGCTTTAAAGCTTATATTTCAACTCAATTTGAACGTAATATAAAAAATGTGCAATGTGATAATGGTCGAGAGTTTGATAACAACAATTCTTTTTGGGATTTTTGTATAACTCATGACATGTCATTCATTTATCTTTTCCTCATACCTCTTCTCAAAATGGAAAAGTCGAACGTAAAAGTTCGGTCTATTAACAATATCACTCGTTCTCTTTTAGCTCATGCTTCTTTCCTTCCATCATTTTGGCATCATGCTCTTCAAATTGCAACCTATCTTCTTAATGTCCTTCCTAGTAAATTGTTACATAACAAGTCTCCTACTTAAGTAATTTATAAAAGGATCCCCTCTTATGATCATCTTCAGGTTTTTGTGTGTTTGTGCTTTCCTCTTATTCCATCCACCTCTATTAATAGGCTGCAACCAAGGTCGACTCCTTGTGTATTTCTTGGTTACCCTAGTAACCGTCGTGGTTACAAATGTAATGATATGTCTTCTAGGAAAACCATAATTTGTTGTCACGTTTTGTTTTATGAACATACTTTTCCTTTTGCTAGTGTGCATTCTCCAACTTCACATACGTATGAATTTCTTGATGATGGATAATCATCATATGTTATCCACCATATGCAACAACATACTAATCCTCCTCTTCAGCTTAACTCACTTACTGGGCCCATTCCCAACACAGCCCAAAAGTTGAGCCCTATCATTGCTCCCTCTCTACGTAATAACCAACCGCTACCTGGTGCCTCACCATGCGTCCGACAGCATGGCCTTACGCCACCAACTACCACCCCCGCCGGTTTACCCGCGGACATAGGTGCAGGGGTGTCTAGGTGGATGGGGCAGGCGTGGCTGATCGAGCTGAGCCCACTAACCAATCCGTGTTTCCTCCGTTTCCATCTTTCAGTGGGCTACTTTCTTCCCAAAGCCAGTCTCTCACTCACATCTAGCCCAATCAAAGCATGACCCCTCCACTACAAATTCTCAACCCATTCCTTCTTCCCAGTCTAGAGTTGTCACACGTAGTCAACATGGGATTTTTAAGCCCAATCCAAAATATGCGAACTTACACACTTCGATTAAGAGGTCTCCTTTACCTCGAAATCCCATTGAGGCACTACGTGATCCGAATTAGAAAATGGTTATTGTATGAAATATTTTAAGCATCCCACACTTGAGCCCCATAGTGATCATACATTAAAGTACGGTGGCGTCCAAAGGGAAGGAAGCTAGAGTAAAAGAATCGCCAACAAGTTTTAGGACTCGTAAACCGTTCACAGGGTGAAGGTTACACCTCTTAACGATCCAGGAGATCGTTTAACTCCAATAGGTCTGGAACCTGACTGGAAGTTCGGGGATGAAGGTACAAATCCAACCTAAAAGAGATTAAATCTGCCCTAAAATTAGGCCTCTACTTTATTCTTCTCGTAATCATGTGCGCTTTTCGACTAACATAAAATCAATAGATTAACCTTAAACCTGTTTAATCTATGTTTGTTGAATATTAATGCACAAACAAGACTATTATTGGCGATCACTTGAATTATAATCATATTAGCCTAAACAAAATTATTAATTATCTTATTAAGCGTGATTACAAGTACAAATTCCCTTTGAACATGCATAAAAGGTGTGATCAAGCAATAACAATAAATATATATATCAAGCAACATAATAACACTCATCATCATAATTATATCAAAATTAATAATAATAGCAAGATCCTAGGCATGATACTAGTTGTGAAAGATATTCCTCAAATTTCCTACGTGTAAAAATTCTATATTTAACTCATTACGGATGGTCTTTCCAATGAGATGTTTTTTATGCATATGACAATAATGTTAATCAAAATTACGCATATGAAATACTTAGAACTTTTCGAGTCTCATCCACTCATTCTAAATCATTGCCAAAATAAATTTCAGGAATTAAAATAGAAATCCTCCCCAGTGGAGATGTCAAAAAACTATAGGGAATATTTCAAGCATTACCCCTAGCTTGAACCCCACTGTGATCATACACTAAAGTACGGTGGCGTCCAAAGGGAAAGAAGATAGAGCAAAAGAGTCGCCAACAAGTTTTAGGAACTTGTAAACCGTTCACGAGGTGAAGGTTACACCCCTTAACGATCCAGGAGATCGTTAACTCCAATAGGTGTGGAACCATGACTGGTGTTTGGGGATGAAGGTACAAATACAACCTAAAAGAGATTGAACCTGCCCTAATAATAGGCCTCTACTTTATTCTGATCGTATTCATGTGCGCTTTCTGACTAACATGCAATCAATATGATTAACCCTAAACCTGTTTATCTATGTTGGTTGAATACTAATGCACAAACAAATCTATTAATGGCTATCACTAGAATTATAATCAAATTAACCCTAAACAAGATTATTAATTATCTTATTAAGCGTGATTACAAGTACCAATTCTCTTTAAACATGCATAAAAGGTGTGATCAAGCAATAACAATAAATATATCAAGCAACATAATAATAAATAAATATATAAATAAATAATAATAATCATAATTATAAAAATTATAACCATAAAAATAATCATTTTAATAATAAAGCATAATGATAATAGCAAGATCCTAGGCATGATACTAACAAGATTAATAACAAACCCTAGAATGTCACTAAACATTAAAAATCAAAGCTTTAACCCTAACATGAAACTATTAGGAAAGACAATAAAAGACATCATAGAAATCACAATTGTCATATTTGATATTAAAGTTACCCTAAACATGATACTAGGAACTTATTGTTGTCACCCTAAACATCAAATTATGGAAATCAAAATAACAACCTAGACATGATTTCTATATCATAATACCAATAAAATCAATTAAAGCACTTACTTGGATGCCTCGTACCTCTTTCTAATAACAAAATACACGCGTTAGTAACTTCAAGGAAAATAAAAAAAAACAACAATAAATAAAATAATAATTGAAATAGAGATTTGGGACCAAACCCTCATAAATATTAAACCTTTCACGTCTAGGGCGAAGGCAACTTCGAACTACGTTAGGTGTTTCTAGGTCTTGTGAATGTGGAATTTTGTATAAAGGTTGGTTTAGAAAAGAGAGAAACAAAGCTTTAGCTCCAAGAGTGAAGAGAATTAGAGAATAGGCGATATTTCAGAATATTTGATTGTAGATGATATTTGATGATCGAATACGGAGTTTTAGGAGGCTATTTATAGAGAAAATCAGCCAAAAAGATAGAAAAACAAACTAGAGTTCTGACGTGAAAAAACAAAGTTAGCGCCAGACGCTGACATTAGCGCCAGGCGCTAAGCTAGCGCCAGGCGCTAAGCTAGCGCCAGGCGCTAATGTCTGGCGTTAGGCGCTAACAATATTTTTGACGCGTTTTCTAAAATCAGATAAAGTTCAACCGTACAGGAGGATAAAATCACATTTTCCTCAAAAACACTCTTTTATTCTGATTAAAATTCCAAAAAGTCAACAAAAGTCAATTTATCAATGCTAATTGAATTAGGAACGAAAAGAACCTTCTAGAAGAATCTAGAAGACTAAAACCATTCCTAATTGCATTAGGAATGATACATCCATATTAGGCCCTCCCCTAGATCATTGGGCCGCATATAAGGCTCAAATCGGGCCCAGTTTAGTAATTTGGCCATAACTTCCTCAATATTCATCAGAATTGGGCTTATAATATATCGTTGGAAAGCTCTTTTCAACCTTATCCAACTACACTATTATTGGACCC